GGATCATGACCTGAGCCGAAGGCAGTCGCTTAACCAACTGAGCCACCCAGGCGCCCGAAAACCTGCAGTTTTTAACTCCTAGAAAAAAAGACAAGAAAACCTAACACACACTCAGTGATGTGCATTTCTTTGGTTTTTTAAAGGTGAAGCCGGTAATGCACAGCAGAATCAACGTGTCTGCTCGCTTTAGAAAACCCCTTCAGGAGCCCTGCACGATCTTGTAAGTTGAAGACTTTTACCTTGAGGCTGGAAGGTTGCTTTCCTTGTGGTTTGGAATTTGTTTTGTAGCTTAAAAAGTATAACTGTTTCAAATGGCGTGGCTGGCTGGTTTTGCTTTTTTTTTTTTTTTTTTTCCAGCTTGATTGCAAATGGAGACCTCATAAGTCCGGCTTCTCGCCTCCTCATCCCCAGAAAAACCTTGAATCAGTGGGATCATGTGTTACAAATGGTCACAGAAAAAGTAACTTTGAGGAGTGGGGCTGTCCACAGGTACGCCCGAGTCTTCTTCTCTGGGTGGATGGGTTTCAGAAGCTTTCAGGAAAATCCCAGGACGCTCCAGAGTCACTGGTCCCCAGTCTGACTCTAGAGTCTATGTTCTTAACTACTAAGCTATTCTCGAAATAAATCCCACAAATTTATCTTTCATTATATATGAACTATCTGTATTGCCTTTGCATATTTATCTTATTGATTTATAGACACTCTTTACATATTAGGGCATCTGGCCGTTTCTCCTATGAGTTTTAAATATTTTCCAGTTTGTATTTTTGATTCTTTATGGGTTTTTTTTTGTGTGTGTGTACAGTTAAGTTGAATTTTGGTACAGTCAAATTTTCAGTCTTATGATCATTAAGTTTTATGACTAGCTTAGCTTTTCCTAATTCCAAGATTATAAAAATGTTCTGCAGTGTTTTCATCTCGTACTTTTAATTTCATTTAAACCTTTGATCCTTCTGGATTTATTTTGGTGTCAGGAGTGAAGGCAGATCTTAAAAGTTCTTTCTTTCTTTTTTTAGATATACAGTTGTGTCTTTTGACATATACATAAATGTAAACCCACTCAATAAATAATATAAAGCACCCAAAGATATATACACACAGTTGCATGCCAGATACACCTGTTCATACATACATTGATCTGACAAATTCACACATGGAAATAAAATATATGCAAGTATAAATACAGAAATGAAAATATATGTTCCCCCACTGCAATATTTGAATACTTGGAGAAACTTAATTCTCAGTATAATGCCAGATATGAGTGAGATTTGGTTGCTGGTCACTTGGGACATGCCCATTTTCCTTTAACAGAACGTTAAAAAGTCTTATGGTTGGACCCTCCCTGTGCCTCAGTATATTTATATATCAGAAACATCCCATTAAAACCGATTCAACTCCCCATTTATGTTTCTTGCCCTTTGCAAAAAAAGGAAGAAAGCAGGTCAAATAAAGTCCTATAAAAGAAGCCTAAAATCGTGGGTTAGAATTTATTCTGTATGCTTAACTACCTGCAGAGGAAACCAGTCAAATCTTGGCTGTTTCCAGATCCACAGTGATTCTGTCTTTTAATTTCAAGCCATAAAAGTTAACTACTGACTCCAATCTTCCTGTTTTGAAGGAAAATGAATATCTGGGTCCAGGCCAGGGTTCTCAGCTTGGGACGATTTTGCCCCTAGGGGACATTTGGCAGCATCCAGTCATTTTTGGTAGTCACACTGGACATGGGGCAGCTACTACTACCATCTAGTGGGTAGAGGCCAAAGGTGCTATTAGGAGGCACCTACAGTTAGTTCACAGGGAGGCCCCCCCCACCCCCCCAAAGAAGAATTATCAGATCCAAAATGCCAATAGAACCATTGTTCAGAAACCCTGGTCTAGGTTAAGGAGGGAAAACCAGAAAATCTGGGTTAAGTGTTGATAATTAGAATTGTAGGGATTGAATTACAGTGTTATAAAGAGGGAGCATCTTTATATTAAATCAACCCAAACACATTTCAGGGTTTTTGTGGCCGGTTTTCTATGTACTTCTTGGCTTCTTTTGATATGTCCATTTACATCATCGGTGAAGAAGCAGACAGATCAATGCCTTTGTCTTTTTTTTTTTCTTTGCAAATGTCACTAACCTTTATTAGGTAAGATAAGAAGTCTGAGAATTTTTTTTTTCTAAATGCTTTTTTCTAAATTCGTTCCAGTCACGAACTCTGGTTTATAACCTTCAAAAATAGGCATAGCCTTTTTCATGGTGTTTTCTAATAGTCGGGTATTTCTTGTTCTTTAGAAAAAAAAATTCTGTGGACACTTTAAGTCGTCTAGTAAAGTTATCGCTGTTCTTTTAATAAGTAACATATTCATTGTTGTCTGCGGCAGCAGTTTTACAGTAAAGGGAGGTCCTTGTGAAATCACTTGATTCTGGGAAGATGAAGGGAGGCAAAAAAGAAAAAAAAAAAGGAAGAGGCACGAATGCTATGCGTTCTGCATCATTAATCCTCTCCAGGGGCTCTTTTGCCTCTTGTTTTCGGACCCCATTCTGTGTGTGTTTGGATGTACTGTTTTGGCTGAGGGCTCTTGCACAGAATGCAGTAAGTCTGTCAACCTGACAAATACATTAAGGAAATAAATTGTAAACGTGCTCACAAGATAGAAATAGAAGAACTGATCTTCAGCGGGAGCTGAGTCCATTTAAAGCACCACGTTTGGGTGCCTGGGTGGCTCAGTTGTTGAGCCGTCTGCCTTCGGCTCAGGTCATGCTCCCGGGGTCCTGAGATCGAGCCCCGTACTGGGCTCCCTGCTCCGAGGGGAGCCTGCTTCTCCCTCTGCCCCTCCCCACCCACCCTCTGTCTCTCATGAATAAATAAAGAAAATCTTAAAAAATAAAATAAAGCACCACATTCTGTGCGAGTCAGGGCTTTCCGTCTGAAATCTTACTGTGGCAGCAGGAGAAGATCCTTCTGTTGGGTTGGTAGGTTGATTGGGATGAAGTACTTGTACACAGAGAGAGGGTAACTGTCTCTACATTGTAACACTGGCATTTAGTAGAATCTAATGACTTTGAGGCATTTTGAATTCAATAATTAGCATAGTAACAAATGAGCCAACTTAAGAGAGGAATGCTTCTATTGAACTTTGTAATTTTAAGTAGCTCTTCCATGCTTGTTTAAATTTTAATTGTGGGCATTCATGTTTTGGTAGACTTTACACGTTAGAAGGAAAACTTGTTGAGAGCGGGGCCGAGTTGGAGAATGGGCAGTTTTATGTGGCTGTCGGCAGAGATAGGTTTAAGAAACTGCCTTACGGTGAATTAATTTTTGACAAGTCCACCATGAGAAGGTCCTATGGGTAAGTGTTCATCCTCATTCACATCTCTTATTTTAGTTACCACTTGAAATAACATTGTCTTATGCTGACCACCGGTATATCTTATATAATCTTGCTCATAAGTTAGAATGGAAAGCATGTTTGATATATATTGATTTGATTGATTAATTGATTTTTGCCATTATTGGAGATTGGAGATTTTTTTTTTTGCACAAAAATATAATTTGGGGGAAGCTATGAAAGGTTATATAGCTTCTCTTTTAACCATTCACTTACAAATTCATAGTAAATATGAAGATTTATTTTGATGAAGAAGATACAGAGCTGAGGGCTTCTATATAGCATACATCATTCGAAGTTTTAATAATGTCTCCGCTGGTTAGCTAGACCAAATAGTTTTCAGTTGGTGCATATACGAACATCTACAAATGTTAAAAAAAAATATTTTATACTCCTTTTAATAGTAATGAGATAAATACAATATAATTCTCCTTGTGCAAGTAAATAGAGCAGCAAGAGAGACTATAATTATTATATGCAAAATTTTGAAGATTGCCCTTCTATTTTGAAGATTGCACTTTTAATTACACACAATGCATTGTGACCCTTTTTCTCTAGGAAATGTCATGTATTTGTGAAAGGTGCCTTATTTCCGCTGAGCAGAGGGCTGGCGGAGGCATGCACGCAGAACCCTGGCCCCCCGCCCAGCAGATGCAGACACCCCCTGGCTTGCTCATGATGGGTTTTTTTTTTTTTTTTTTTTACCACCTGTGCTGCTTTTCCCACATGTTCTGTGGCCACTTAGCTCTCAGAACCTGACTTTTCGTGGCTGCCTTCTGCTGGGGTGTGGGTTACTTGCACAGAGATAGCAGAAGGTCACCAATTTGTTCTCCATTAATTTGGAGTTTGTGAAGCCTGGCTGGAGAGGCTGGCGGAGGGTTTCCAAATAAGTAAGGGATGAAATGGACTTTTGGGGCGGTGTTTGGAGTGGGCAGGAGCACACGGTTTTCCAGCACTTTAGAATTATTTTCCAGCAGACTTATTGACGACTGTCCTTGGCCATCCATGACGTCAGATCCTTCACGATCTCTGCTGAGCAACACTGGATTCACCTGCTGTGGGCTACAGTGTGTTCTCAAGGGCGATGAAAAGTCTGTAGCTCGTGGTTGCCTCTCTCTGACAAATTAGTTAGACACACCTTCATCTGTGTGTGGTCTTCTTTTCAGAGGGGTCAGTGGGTTCCAAGATAGGTCTCTTCCTACCATATGTGGAACAACATTCCTACAGCCAAAGTGAACTTTTATTTTTTATTGAGAATGACCGGTCTAGAAGCTCACTGAATATAAACGCTGGTGTTTTGCCATTCTGAGCTTCTGACATAGACACTGCAGACATTATGAAAACAATGGACGTTTATTGTTTTTGACTCAGTCTGGCAAAACCATCACTCAGCTTAGGAAGTGACTTTTTGAAATGCATCCAGAAAGTTTGGGGATTTGAATAAAAATGCTACGAAAAAAATTAAAGGTGGTACTAAAAGTTTATAGGGAGCATCAGTGAAAATCATTTAATGTTGAACATTAAAGATCTTTGGGACTGGATTTTAATGATTTTATGGTGGTCTTTGTGAAATCGGGAAAGTATGTGGTTCTTTTTGTGAAACACCTGTGTCCCTTAAGCAGATGACTTGCAGGTTGGGATGATAAGTTGGGATGACAATTATCTTGCATTATGTGTTATTTGTCAATAACATTCAGATTTCTAAATTGCGATTTGTTTCCACAGTCAGAAAGCTTCTTCACTACCTCCTATTGTAGGATCCAGAAAGTCTAAAGGGAGTGTAAGTATCAGATGCTTTACTCATTAAATATTCTCTATTTCTATATGACACAGAGAGACTGTCCTTTGGGTTTCAATTAAATTTGAAGAGATAAAACTTAGCTGTCTTGTGGTATATGAGCAATTATGTGAAACAACGCTAGAGCATTAACGTTATGGTTAAGGTCTTCAAAATGAACTAACACTTTTAAAATAGAGGTTCCAAAATAGGTGTCTTTTTCCTTGTGTATATACAGTTGAAATCTGGGCAATGATGCATACAAGTAGAGGAAAGTTTGGATTAGGTCACATTAGTGGTCTGCTCAGTCTGGTTTTGTATCTCTGACAAAGACTAAAAAAAGGATGTTTTTGTAAAAAAAAAAAAAAGGCAATCATCAAGTTATCTTCCTTTCAAAGACTGAGAATCACTCTACGTCGTTCCCTATCAGAATTTTTTCCATCCGTGATTGGTCCATGCATTTGTTAACTCAGCGAATGTCCGTTCAGTACCTCTCCTGGGGGAACTGTGGCAGGCGCTTCGTAGGTGACTTCATAACCTGTTTGTATTTTTGGTCCGTACCCCTTCGCAGGGAGGGGTGTGATGCCAGGCTTAGAGGGCCACTTGGACAGGTTTTTCTGGCTGAGGCTTCTCTCTCTGCCCTTTTGACTGAGCTGCCTGAGCAGCAGTGATCAGAATTGGTTTGACATTTCCCCCCAGTGTGCACGCTGCCCCCTGATTTAACTAAGCAGAATTCTTCCGTTGGTGTTTTCTGACATAAGCAATTGCTGGGTGATGATGTGTCTCCTGATGATGCTTTAGTCCACCCCGCCCCCAAACTTTTTGTATATCATGCAAAATTCTTTGGGGAAAAAAAAAAAGAGAAATCATTTTGTGCGATGTAGTGCAGACCTCAGCATAACAAACAACAGACATTTATCACCCGTTCGTTAGCTGAGGCTCTTACACTGTTTATGACCAAGCTTTGGCCCTCAGGAAACGGACAGTCCAGTTGAAGTGGAGAACAGAGCCTGAAAAGGTAACTGACGAGCTAACGCTGAACAGCGAGTTTGCGGTGAGATTGGTAAACGCAAGACAGAGGGAGTCAAAGGTTTGTTCGCCAAAGTACACGAAGGAAGTTGAATGTGAGCCATGCCTTTGAGGGTTGTTTGCCACGGGTGAAGGTCGATGAGGGGAAGGCGTTTCAGATGGAAAGGATGGTGTGAGAAAGGAGCGAAGATGTGCTCTCCGAGGGGCAGTCACGCAGGCTGTGATCTGCACTTAAACACGGAAGGGGAATTCTGCACAGACAGTAGAAGGAGCACATCCAAAGGCTCCCATTGAGTCCACAGGGCCCGTCTGGAGGGAGCTCACACTCATGACCCCGGGGCACGGGGAGTCCCTCAGGCTGACTGGAGCAGGGGATCCTTCATGTGTGCAGGCTGGTTCGCCTGGAGTGGTAGGTGGTAGCAGTTTCACATGGCCTTGAGTGTCAGACCCAAGAGTCTGGTCCTTATCCTGGAGTAGAGGGCAGCTCACGAAGGCTTCCGAGAAGTGGGAATGTGAACCCGTCTGTTCTAGGAAGGTCAGATCTTTTTTGTGGGGAAAGACTTAACGTGGTGAGAGGCCACGGATGAGAGACATCCGTTACATGGCCATTGCAAGCAGGAGCCTTGGCATCAGGCAGAAAGAGCTAGGCTAGGAAGGTGCCTATTGCTTTTGAAGAGATGGAAGACTTCCTTGGTGATGGGACACAGGGGTTAATGGAGAGGTTGGAGCCAGAGATAACTGCAGGTTCTTGAGCATGGATCACCCAGGAAATAGTGCAACCCTGGCCAAGAAGAGGGCAGTCGGAGGAAATAATGACCTGCCTGATTTCAAACAAACTGAGTTGGAGGTGTCATCGCGGAATCTAGTTGCAAGTGTTCAGCAAGCAGCTGTAACTGGTGGAGACCGAGGCCTGACGAGGACCCGGGGCGCAGATGGCAAGTTCATCCGCGTAGCAGTCATAGCTGGAGAGCAGACCCATCACTCTGCTGTTCCTTCCTGGCACCCGGCCCAGCCCGGCGCGGGGCAGCCCTCCCTGCTGTCGAGCGCGATCCTGGAGAGAGTGCACACAGACTGCCGAGGACCCTGCCCCGAGGCAGGCAGACAGCACGGGTCTGCAGAGGAGGAGGAGAGAGAATGTTCCAGTGGCTCAAACATAGATTTTAGCCGCTACCAAAACTAAATAGAACCCATGAATGTAGGGTTTGGACATTTTGTCCTCTTGCTCTTCTTCAGGACTTTGGGGGCAGAATCTCCTTGTCTACCCCAGGCATGAGTGGGCTCATCGATTCCCACGATGCCGCTGCAAGAGGGGTGGTAGAACAGAGAGACCCAGTGGACTTCGTAAGTGCCCCTAGGTCAGCCGGGAAAGTTGGTGTCAGAACCAAGACCATAACTCAACTCTTTGCATTCACAGTTACCAGAGTTTGGAATTACGGGCTTATTATTCTGAGGTTTGGAATGGTCTAAATTTTTTATTAAAAATGCGCAATGTGTATCCTGCTTTAAAATTCATGTGCAAGAGGCACATCCATCTTGCTTGCTTGTTTGGAAGTTATTTAGAATCTGTGCTGTGAATGCTGCTTCCTCTAACAGTAAATGGAGTTTCCTGTGTATCTGGCATGGAACAGAGCCCCAGGGAGATGGAGATGAGCAAAAAAGACATGGTGCTCTGAGCTCAAGGTACACTTGGGGGAGAACAAGGTGAAACTAACAATTCCAGAAATCAATATATAATTACGAGGTGCGGTAGGAATGAAAGAAAGGTACAGAGAATATGAGACAATGGAAGGAGAACCTATTTAGGTAGGCAGGTCAGGACTGATCTTCCCTGGAGAAGTGACCTTGGAGGAAAGACTCAACATCATGACATGTTTCCATCTCCTAGAAAGCAAAGACTCAAAATTACATGTCCGTGCTCCGACTTAGAAGAATAAAATGACGGTAGAGTTTGCCTCTTTCCACAACACTCCAAAAACATTCTGTCTATTCATCCATCTGTCCATCTGCTCGTTCAGTTAGCCATTCGACACAGACTTATCAAGCAGTTACTAACGTGCCAGGAGCCACTCTAAAGGACTGGCTCACAGGGGCCAACAGATCAGGTTTCAGACCTCATGGAACTTTCCTTTTAGTGCTTGTGTGTGTGTGTGGAGCCGGGGGGTGGGGGTGAAGCGGGAGAATGGGGGTAGACAGACTATCAACCTCTAAACAAATGTACACATAATTTCACATGGTGCTAAGCACTAGGAGGAAAAGAAAATGTAGCAAGGCACGAATTGATAGAAAATTCTCTGAGATCTTAATGACCTAAAGAAGCCAGTCCTGCAAGGCAGGGCAGGACCGGAAAGAGCCTCTGTGGCAGAGGCAAGGGTCACAAAGGCCCTTGGTGAGGAGCGTGGCATCTTGGCATGTGAGGAGGGCAGGAAGAAGGCCAGAGTGGTCTGAGATGAGACTGGAGAGGCATGTAGGGCCAGGTCTGTAGACACCGTGCTAGGAGTTTGGATTTTATTCCTTGATGGGACACCATCTGAGGGTTAGAAGATGAGAAGAAGAGAGGGATGTTGTTGGTCTAACATTTCTGAGGGATCACTCCGGCTGTGGTGTCCACAGAGAAGCGGGTCAGGGGGAGAACCTAAGCAGGAGGCGGTGGGGCGCTGGACCCAGGCACGTGACGCAGGTGACCTGGGCGCCTATGACGAGTCCTCCTCGAGTATCTTGTAACTGTCGTCTCTGAGCGGTGCATTCAACCGACAGGCATTTACTGAGTGCATATTATGTCCTGGGCACTGTTTGTAGAGCTTATGGGAAGAGGGAGGCGGGGAGTCTAGAGAAAGCCCTGAGGATATGGAACGTGCGTTCTAGGGGAGGAGAAAGACAAATACACAACACACTTGGTGTTAATCGGGGATGAGCTTGAAGAAAAACACATCAGGGTGTGGGAAGAGGAAGTGAGAGGGAGCTGTATCATCTGGGTGGTCAGGGCAGGCCTCTCTCGGGAGGTTATATTCGAGCAGAGGGGCAGAACCCGCCTGCACACGGCAGGGGCTCACTAACCCTGTGCAATGGGTGTGTGATGTCCGGCAGTGAGCCGCACGGAGGGACCATCTCCGTCGGCAATTCCAAAGTCACAGACTTGGTTTTTTAACTGAAGGATTATTTTACTCCTGTCCTTTAATTAATTGGGTCCCTGGAGAATGTACATGTTTTTAAAGATCGTTAACTGCTTGGCACTGAGTGGGGGTGTGCGTGAGGGGGCTGGGGGAGACCTAGCTCGGGACTGCAGGGACCACCCCCGAGGCAGCAGGAAAGGCACCCCCCAAACTGGTGATACAAGTCGAAGGGGATGCAGAGCTGGATTTTTAGGAATTCATTTCTCGCAGGGCTTTCTAGGAATCACTCTGGTGCATAAGGAAGGGGAGTGTGGGTCGGGGCCTGATAGAACTTAGTGGGAAAAAAAGAGAAGCTGCAGGAGTCTGCACAGGGGCCCCTACCCATGTGGTAGGGAGTGCGGGTGATGAGGGGGCTTCTGGGCTCAGGCAGACCCTTCCAGAGCAGCTAAGGAACGAGACCAGAAAGCCATTCCCTACACAGACTCCTAGCGCTGGGGGATCACAGACATGAGCAAACTGGGAGTAATTTAACCTGCAGTTCTGGCCTTGAAAACAAAAGGAAGATAGGAGGGAATTGTGTTAAATCCTATTAAGTGAGAAGAACCACCCCCTTGATCGGGAGGCTTCCCCGGGGCACACCACGCAGGATCAAGGCGGCCCCTAGTGGAAGACGTGTAAACTCGGAGATAGTTGAAAAGTAAAGCCTGAGTTCTTGTTCTTACTACCACGTGGCCGATACAGCCTGTGATCAGTAGTTTACAGACTCAAATATCGTCATTGCTAACGTTCTGGTGAAAAACAACAACAACAAAAAACCCAACACGATTATCCGTGTATCACAAGGTCACTGTGAAGCAAGATAAATTCCAGATGCTCCCAAAGCTCCATTTTGCCTTTTGGGAAACCGAGTCTGGTATGGATAAAGGGGCTTTTTGCCACTTGCCATCACCAGATACATCAGTGAGAGAAACACCAGCCTGAGTTTGGGTCCAGCTTCCTGGTCAGGAGTCTCCCACCTGGGCGTGTCTCCGAAACACGCCAAGGCGGAGGCAAGACCCTCCCAACATTATCTTAAGCTCCATGTTTTCCAGCATGTGTCCATGGGGGCTGGGGCCGCGTTTCCTGTTGTAAAGAAAGACACCTGACTTGAGTGGCTCGTGTTGGAAAGAGCCTAGGGAGCTACTAAAAAAAACCAAGTTTCGGGGTGCCTGGGTGGCTCAGTCGTTAAGCGTCTGCCTTCAGCTCGGGTCATCGATCCCAGGGTCCTGGGATCGAGCCCCGCATTGGGCTCCCTGCTTGGTGGGAGGCCTGCTTCTCCCTCTCCCACTCCCCTTGCTTGTGTTCCTGCTCTTGCTATCTCTCTTTCTCTGTCAAATAAATAAATAAAATCTTAAAAAAAAAACCAAACAAAACCCCGAGTTTCAGTAAAGTCGGGGAGCTCGAAGGGCACCTTTCAGAGCTGTCAGATGCACTGCTGTGTGGCAGGCGGGAGGCAGGGCAGTGGTCCAGGTCCCAGGGGTCCGGTTCCCGCGTGGGACACGCTGCAAAATCGGGCCCCTGCTTCGTTGTCTTCCCTTTGGCGTGAAGCCACACTTCCCGGTGGCCTTCTCGGGGAATCATGCCATATAATAAATATTTGCAGTGCCGTGGCCTCAGGAAGCTTCCGTGTAGCAGAAAAATCAGACCTGGGAACCTTGAGAAAGTTAATCCCCTGTATCTGCAAAATGGTGACGATAATACCATATTTGTGTTAAACGGGTATTTAGCACGTAAGAAGTACTTGTTAATACTGTTTTATGAACCGGCAGAGCTGTATGAGAATGGCAAAACTCCTTTATTTCCTATGCCCCCCAGATAGCCACAACTCTCCATTTATGTATCCAGGTTATGAGTCACATGCGGAAGTCTCAAAAAAGGAAGGAAAAATCCCCCTCTCCATTCCTCTGTCCCCCCCTCTCTAATTTATTTGTAGATCACCTATAATTTATATAATTAACTATGTGAATAAATATGAATATATAATATATATTATATATTTAATACATATAAATTTAAATTTAATATATTTTATATATTTAAATTTAATATATTTTAAAATTTATATTAAATATAAATATAAATATATTATATATAAATATATATAAATATATAAACTTAAATATAAATTATATAATATAAATTATATAAATATAATATATTTATGTATTATATAGTTTATGTTTGTGCATAATTATTATATATTTATATTGCTAGCACTTTAGATGAATCAACATTTTTTTCTTTGTTAAAAAAAGACAGGCATTTAAATTGTTTCCAGGCTTCTAGTTACAAAACAAATTCTTCCCTTTGTTTTAGTTTAGTGTCGTCCTCACAAAGCGCCCAGCAATCAGTCATTGATTCAATAATTGCATGCCTGGGGGTCCGTTACCAAAGCCATGCTATGTAGCGTTATTGGAATCCACCAGGCTTTCTCGATGCTCCAAAATAAACCCTTTGGAGCGTCCTTATCAGAAATGGAGCAAATCAGAACTTCCTGTAGAGTCAACAAGAGAGTTGACTTTTAAAGTTGCATGAATCCCGGGCACAATTCCGCTTCTCCCTGGTCACACACCATTTGCAGAAAATGCCTTTTCCCAGAGAGCTGTGAGGGACCATCCTGCCCAGATCCAGGGGCTCTCACTCACTCAGCTTCATATTAGTTCTCGAAAGTTCCACAGCATCTCTGAACGTTCCAGTAGGCTTGCTGGAAGGGTGACTCCGCTCATCCAAGGCTTTTGAAGTTTCAAAATCATGGGACGAACATGCTATGGAAAACAGGTTGGAACATGAGACCTGGCGGATGGGTGTGGAATCCCCACTATAATCGCATGATCTGTTTCTTCTGCCAGGCAGTCCACGGGCCTTGTGAGAAAGAATCACTGGAGAAAAGGAAGGAAAATAAGCAACAACTCTGGTTGCAGTTAATGCAATAATTAAATGGAAGTCTATGTTTAAATTGCAGTTGGAATGGGAAATTAAATTATGCAAAGGAGTGTTAGAGATTTGGACAAGTTTTCATACTGTTAATAAATCTATGCATAATTCATTTTCTTGTAGGCTATGACAAAATAGCATAAATAACTTCATTTGTAAGGCTGTGAGTTTTTCTATTCTTAATTGGGTGATGGCTAAAACCATTTCAGTGCTTCTGGATGACTGAATATATAAATGTTTAAAATGAGCAGTTATAATAGGTTTCTAGGCAGATTTGTTTATTTAATATTACTACATTTATTTTCAGATCCTAGCATAGTACAGATGTTGCATAAAGATTTCACCCAATATGGTGTGAGTTGGATCTGATTTTTAAGGAAAGACATACTAACTCTGCTCTTGGAGAAAGCACTCTGCTACTCTTCAAGCAAATACTGCCCGACAGGCACCGTACTAGTAATTTTATAAATGTTACCATTTCCTCGTCATGATAGACCTAAAGGCAGGTGTGTTAGCCCCACTCAACTGAGAAGGCAACGGCCAAAGAAGGCAGGAGGTAGCCGGAGGTCCCACTGGCGGTTAGTGGCAGCGCAGTGGCTCTGAGCCACGTATTTTGGTCTCTAAAACTTGCATTCTTTCTACTTCCTGCAGCCTCACACCTTATACACTCAAGAAACTCAAGTGGGTTTAGCACCTGAGCATCCGAGAACCAGGTTGTCTTGTTAGGAGGGAGGTCCTTGCTGTAGCAATGGCCAAGCAACAAGACCGAGTCTGAGTGCACCTGTTCTTTGGGAGCTCACAGTGGTCACCATTGTGGTGGCTGTTATGTGGCTCCCCAGGAGCTGTACTGGGGCCAGGGAAACTCATCCTGGCCTTCATGCTGAAGAGCCTCCTTTGCAGAGGCAAGGTCTTCGTTCCCAGAGGCACGTGGAGACCACAGGCAACCACTGAATGTGTGATCATTGCTGGTTGCCTTGCAGAGGCGTGATCTTGAGCTGCTTGGGTCCATGTGGCTCTGGATTTGCGATTCTCAGGGAGCATGGCAGTCACCAGCAGATGAGTACGTATTTGAGGATTTCTATAAGCACAGCGTGTGTCTCCTTGTGTGATGATACCCGCGTATTCACAGTGACCACTAGTTAAGAAGGTATTTCTAGATTAAGTGGTCAAACTGAGGGCTGTCACTTTTCCTCGTCCAGTAGATTTTTCTGGAGGGAGAGGATGGTTAAGGCAATGACCTTGCTGGCTCCGTGACCTTGGGCAAGACTCATTTCTTCCTCTCTGCAATGGGCGAAAACAGTGCCTGCCTCAGGGTTGTGAGGATTGAAATAATTTTATAGAATGTCTGGTACATATTAAGTGTTCAGTACTTTTTAGCTATATTTTAATTCTCGTGCTTCTGCTAGACCCTTCTCCTGGGACCAGGAAAAGTTAATGTACATATTAAAACAGAGAATGGGGAATCAGCAGAATATGTCCACTCCCGCCCCTGCCCCGTTTACCGCTGGTTAATGACTGACATTGACTAGGAGTTACTTTGGGATTTCATTAGCCCATGGTAAGGGTCTAATCTTCTGCCACTCAGGGAAATGATCGTCAATCCAAGTCAACAGTTGGATCCAACGACCACGCTTCCCCTCAGCCCCCAAAGAGGAAAGGGAAAAAAGAGGAGGTGAATTTGGAAAAACCCAAGAAAGGGAAACAAAACGTAAAGTTAAAGAACTCACCACAAATAAGTCCAAACAGTGGTAAGTTTGTCCTTGTTATTATTATATTGTTTTTATGGATTATCATCTTAAGGCTTTGATATGATTTTAATTCTTAAATAGATCTGTTTGTTTCTTTGGACCCATGGAAGATGCTCCTTATCGTCCTATAGGAGAGTTTTCAAAGAAGATTTTTGTGTAGGAAAGATTCTTCTGTTTCTCCTTCCAAAATTTCTGCTTGTAATTAGAGGTTGTGTACAAGAACACATGCTTTGAGGTAAAATATTTCTTGTGGTGGTCTCGTATAAAAAAAGGTGAATCTTGTCATCCTTTTCCTCTATTGAAAGGGCTTGATTAACATGTTTACCAACTACTGTTGACATTGGTCTCTCTTCCTTGTGTGTCTACAACCCTTGTTCACATTGATCACAAGTTACTTTTAGTCACAGATCCCTTTCTCCAAAAAGATGTTTTCCTAATTTTACTGATATCCAAGAGAATACGACACACCCAGAGAACATTACCAGTAGGACGTGTCCCCAAATTAGTTCTGTATCTTGCATCACCAGGTAAGAGATGCCATAAACTAAGTTTTTAAACATTTTCATCAGTATGAGATTTGTGCAGTCAGAATTGTGAACTTTCATGGGAAGACTTTTCATGGGAACTTTTGGGAAGACAGGCTCTTTTTGGTTTCATTCCAAGCGTGGTGTCAGTGGGACGAACCTGTAGGGGTGGAGGGGTGGAGGGCTGGCCGGGCCACAGCCCCGTGCAGGGACTGCTTCTCCTTCACCCTGGGATCCCCTCACACACCTGCCAGGGGACATGCTGGGCGGGAGGGAGGAGGATGAATGGGCTGTTATTGCGGATTCATGGCCAGCTCTCTGTCTTCCACTTGGGAGCTTCAGCTTCTTTTGAAGTTGATGTGAAGAGTCACATTAGAATGACAGCTACTGTGGGCCTCACAACGAAGGGGACACATGAACTCGTGGGGGTTCAGAGGGTGAGGCAGGCGATGAAGGAGTCGTGGGAAAGCTGCGTGAGACTAAGTGAGAGAAACAGCCTGCATGACGAGCCAGTTACAAAGAGGAGATAGAACGGAGGGGGCTTTGCATCATTTCGGTGATGGAGACCAGCTGGGGAAGGGCAGAGGGGACTTTGCATCATTTCAGTGATGGAGACCAGCTGGGGATGGGGGGGTCCTGGATTCTCCTTGCAGCTCTGCTCTAGACCTTGGGCAAGCCACTTAACTTTGGGGGGCCACATCAGCTCTCTGCAAAATGTGGGCTCATATTAAGATTTAGCTTGAATGTTTGCTTATCGTTAAGTCTGTATAATCCCTCACAGTTGACGATGAAACAGGGGAAGCCAGGGTCAAATGTGGCCAACGAATGTTTATTGAATGCATATTTTACGGCAGGCACCAAAGGAAAGAAGCTAGCCTGGAAGAATATGCCATACCTTGAGGATTTAAAATCATAGAGGCTTTATTTTAATCAGTATACCAGATTGTGAAGCCCCCAAGGCCCTGGGCTGGGTCTTCCTAGGTGTTATGTTTTTATTCGCAATAACTGGCATGGGTCTGATGGATACGAGACCCTTAATAAATATTGGCAAACGAGCGCTGGAACATAGAACACAACATAGACAGGTCGCTGTAATACTTTGAAACTCTTCATGAATATTTTTCATTAAAGGCTTTTGTAAAATGTGGCTTATTTTCTGTGAGGCTCATCTTAGCATGTGAAAAATCCCAATTCCTCCTCCTAGTTTGTGTATTTTAAAGTCTTTAGTTTCAGCAGTTGCTTCTCAGGAGAAAGGGGACCTTCACCTTGTCATTCTCATTTGCAGAAATTACGTAGGATGAGGTTACACCCACAGTTTCCTCTTGCACTGGAAAGGAACCTTTACGGAACAGCTAAATGATCAGTACTTTTGCTTTCGTAGAAATTCTCAGTTTTCAGCAATGGTACCTGTGGGGATGAAAATAAGAAACACGTTGAGCGTTGAGGCAAGTTATTATTATTTTTTAAAGTGCTCGGAAAAGGTGGAAGGCCGTCGCTGTTCAACCCCTTGTCTTTGGAGAGCCTGGCAATTGTTTTAGATTATTGCCCATGTTAAGTGTCTATTCTCCAGTGTCGTTTTATAATGAGCGAAATGTAGGCTTCTAACTGCTGGACCTCTGGTGTCTTTTATTTTTTGTTTTTAAAGATTTATTTATTTGTCAGAGAGAGCAAGAGCACAAGCAGGGGTGAGGAGCAGAGGGAGAGGGAGAAGCAGACTCCTCACTGAGCAGGGAGCCCAATGTGGGGCTTGATCCCAGGACCCTGAGATCATGACCTGAGCCAAACGCAGACGCTTCACCAACTGAGCCACCTAGGCACCCCCTGCTGGTGTCTTTCAAGTGACAGTTTGGGGGAGTGGAACCTCCCCCCCCCACGTCCCCCCACCCGGCCCAGTAAGAAACTTAGGTGATCCAGAAGTGTACATAAGAGTTGAGATGAAGCATTTTGTATCTTTTCCTCTCGATAGAAAGAACATACAACCTGGAAGATGAATCTTGGCTTCCAAAAACATTTTTTTTTCCAGGGAAAATGAAAAAAAAAAAAAGGATTTTGTTCACTAGATTAAATCATCACTTGACAAATTTAAGGATATTAGCTTAAGTCCATAGTTTTGAAATTTGAGCTATTTCCCCCATCAGCTCTCCCTCCAGATGTCTTTGGCTATAGAAATTGTCCAGGTTATAGTATCAAATCTCTCCTTTTCTCACTCCTTAATTCAGCTTCATATTAATTTATTCTCACAATTGTTTTTTACTTTAATGTCCTCTATTCTAGTAATTAGAACCAAGTGTGTGCTTTTGGATAGTCATATCTCAAGAGCGCTTATTGTCTAGAAAAGTAAAAGCAATAGGACTGTAAGCAAAATGAAAGGAAAGGTGTGTGGTGAGTCAAGATAATAAAAAATGCAAGAATTAATACTGTATTGTATATTTGAAAGTTGCTAAGAGAGTAGGTATTAAAAGTTCTCATCACAAGGAAAAATTTGTTGTTGTTGTTTTTGTAACCGTGTATGGTAACAGATGTTAACTAGATTTACTGTGGTGATCGTTTTGTAATATATACAAATATCGAATAAAAAACGCAAGAATTTGATGTTAGAGATGAAACATAGTTTTTGCTACTTACCAGTATTTTACATTTGGGATTAAGTGGTTGATTTAATTTTCTTTCATGCTACTTACCAGTATTTTACATTTGGGGTTAAGTGGTTGATTTAATTTTCTTTCAAAGTGTTAAATTTTAGAGTTAGGATGAATATCTAGATCATCTCGTAACGTATGATAAATTGTGCAAATTTTTGGTCCAGTGTTTGTTACCTATATACTGTTCTAATGTTAATGAGAAGAAAGAGACTGTGTAGGCTATCTTGATTTTTATTATAATGTAGGCTGTAGTCATACCTGTTGTCTTTCTTCTACTGTTGATATTTACTGATATTTGGGTGTCTAGTGCTATATGAATGAGCAGTGCTGATAACTGTCTGTAGATGGCAACCTGGCTCTAATTTTATTTTTTTCTTTTTCTTTTTTTTTTTTTTCTTTCCGACTCTGTTTCTTTCCGTAATAGTAAAGCTTAATAATTCAAGCAGAGCTGTGACATATTTCTTCAGGGAAACAAATCCCATTTTCTTTTGGTAGCCAAGATGCAAAGTAAGATTGGTTGGTGATTGATGAAGTTGGGTGTGAAATGCATTTTTGGAGCTGCATTTAAATACCAGCTTAACTGGCCAGCCTGTTTTCCATACACTTTCCACTTGATTTGTGGTGCCTTGAGATACGTTTTAGAGGCTCTTAACTAGCTTACCCTTTCCACCATGAGCAAAGTGGTAATGATGATTGTCTTGAAATAGTATTTTGTGATTGATTGTTTTCATTGATATTTTAAATATTTTCTATGTGAAAAAAAATTAGTGTCTTTAGAACCCTCAGAACCCAGGAAGTGCAGTGAATTTAGGGCTTCTTAGAAATATTGGAAAGGCTGCAGAAAAAATAGGCAGGGCTGTGTTGCAGCAGCTTACATGGTATTGATCATTATAAACACTTTTTTTAAAGCAGAGTTTTTTTTGTTTTTGCTTTTTTTTGCCTATATTTTTATTATGTTCATAAAGCAGAGTTTTAAAACGTAAGCAAAAACAAGATTTGTTTTCTTTTGAAGGATGTTTGATTCTCTTTCTGTTTGCGGGTGTGAGCGTGTGCGTGAGCATGCAAGTGCGTGTGCACGCACACACACACACACACACAGACTAGTATCCTACTTGATGCAGTTCCTGGCTTATTCCCAGCATCAGTTCTGTGATAGTTCCTAAGGAACTTGACATGTTTAGATTCCTCATGAATGATGGGGAGCAGGTGCAGCATCAGGAAGGGATGTCTGAATATTATGACCTTGCTGGGTGAGTGCCCTTGAGCGGTCACGCTCCTAAATTTTCTAAGAGCTACACTCTGCACATGCTTTGCTGCGTTCCCCCGGGGAAGGAGCATTACTGCAATCCGTCCTCGCAGTCAGATCGCGGGGCGTTGAAACTTGAGCTGCTTCGGTTCAGCCCATGAACCAGCTCAGGCACTTACTTGTGTGGTTCCCCAGTCACAGGAGGCTCTGAAAATAGAACAAGAAGCACGTTTCCAAATGGGCTCCCCCAGGCCTCACCCTCTGAGGGGGATCAGGTACGGGAAGAAAGTCTATCAGAAGGCACCAGGAGGAGTTCACAAAACAGGGCACTGGTTTTGTTTAAGACTCCGCGCTAAGATTTAGGATTCGTTGGTGTCTGGTGCCGCCCCCTCACCTTTGGGTGGAGAAATGCAGGCTTTTCATTCCTGCGTCGACAGTGACTTAGCTCAGAAGCAGTGTGGACTGTGGGATATGGGTCACGTTTTACTACATCAAGTCCCAGGGCGATAAAAATTTATAAAGCAAGCATTCCCCCATACCTCAGGGATCCTTGTTGGAATGACCTATTGTCCGACGGGATTCTAGTAC